TAGAATCCACAGCTAACATTCTATTTAAGTTTTTATTTTTAATAGAGATGTTTAATTTTTTTAATTTTGCTTTTTTTTTTTTTTTTTTTTTTTTTGAGACAGAGTCTCGCTCTGTCACCCACGCTGGAGTGCAGTGGCGCGATCTCAGCTCACTGCAACCTCCACCTCCCACGTTCAGGTGATTTTCCTGCCTCAGCCTCCCAAGTAGCTGGGACTACAGGCGCCGCCACCACACCCAGCTATTTTTTGTACTTTTAGTAGAGATGGGGTTTCACTGTGTTAACCCAGAATGGTCTCAGTCTCCTGACCTCGTGATCCACCCGCCTCAGCCTCCCAAAGTGCTGGGATTACAGGTGTGAGCCACCGTGCACGGCCTTTATTTTGCTTTTTAATAGACATGAGGTCGGCCAGGCGTAGTGGCTCACGTCTGTAATCCCAGCACTTTGGGAGGCCGAGGCGGGTGGATCACCTGAAGTCGGGAGTTCGAGACCAGCCTGGCCAACATGGAAAAACCCCGTCTCTCCTAAATATACAAAATTAGTCAGGCGTGGTGGCACACGCCTGTAATCCCGGCTACTCGGGAGGCTGAGGCAGGAGAATCGCTAAAACCCGGGAGGCAGAGGTTGCAGTGAGCTGAGAACGCACCATTACACTCCAGCCTGGGCAACAAGAGTGAAACTCCGTCTCAAAAAAACAAACAAACAAACGACATGAGGTCTCACCATGTTGCCCAGGCTGGTGCTGAACTCCAGAACTCACGCAATCTTCCTGCCTTGGCATGCTAAAGCGTTGGGTTTACAGGCGCCAGCCACCGTACCTGGCCCCAATGTCCTTTGTTTAAAGATGGACAAGGGGGCAAATGGGTAACACTGAGTCTTTGAAGAGAATGAGTCATTTCCAGTTATCAGCATGATTACCTTTTAATTTATCTTTAATGTTTTCTGATAAATGTTTTGTGAGCTGAGGCATTTCTTCTGGAGAATATTGAGCATTTGCGAGTTCCTCCTTGAGCACAGCATGGATACAGTCCTTCACCACAGAGGGCCTGAACCTGAATGGAAAAATTTGTGAACATCTAGTCGGTGACTCCAAAACCCCAGCTTACCTTCGCACCTCAACTTCTCCCATCTGTCATCAGTACCACTTAATCCTTTTTGATATTTTTTATTATAAAATATAAACAAATTAAGACAAATCATAGGCCACATGTGTATCTTCAACCTGGACCTGCACTGAACTTCAACACATTCCAACTGATGCTCCATCTGGAAGTTTATTAGGCAACTCAATACATCCAGTAATGAGCTTCTCATACTCCCCTCTCCCTCAAAACAAAATATATATTTGCTGTCAATCTTGTTCTTCACACTTTCACAAAATAAAATAAAATAAACAAAATAAAAAATACGGCAGAATGGCGTTCTTAGTATTCAGAACCTTTTCCCAAGATAACTAAGCATATCTTTTTCTGTGTTCATTCTACCCAAGGGAAAATTTCTGTATGAAATTTGTATCACTTTTTCTGTGAGTTACCAAGAGAATAAAAATAAACAAAGAAATTTGTATCACATTATAATCAAAACTCCTGGTTTCCATATTTGCCAAGCATCAGATTCAGCAATCCGGTTTCAAACAACAGAGGAGACTGGGACGTGTTTTTAAATCGGTGTGCGTGAGTGTGTAAAGTGAGTGACGTTACAGACCCAGCTGAGTGCCCTCTGCTCTGGCCCGTGAGCCTTAACCCCGGGAAGGTCTCGGTGCGGTGGTCTAAGGGCCTCCGGATCCCGCCTGGTAGGACTTTGCACACATGCAGCTCCCGCGCCGGGAGGGAGCCCATCCTGGCACCCGTGCGCACACGGTAACCCTCGAATCACGGCTGAACGGCATCCCACGCGATGGCCTCCTGCCCCTATTCCACCCATCTCCTTACTCGGGACGCCATCCTGGGTTTCCCAGGGCCAACCATTCCCGCGGCGCCACCCTAAGACGCGCCCGGCGCCCCAACACTGTGGCCGCGGGTGGGGTCCC